CGCTTTCTCCAGCGGCAGCTGATGAATGCAGTGGAAGTCAGCAGGCAGTGAGGAGCACCATAGAGTTCTCGTGGAGCTTTCCGGGCAGGTCTAGGAGGACACCAGGGTGTTGGTCCCGGTACCCGCGTGGGGAAGGAAGCCTGGGGAGTTGTCATGTAGGGTCTGAAGCCTGCAGTGAGGTTGCTGAAGTGCACTTTCTGTGCCAGCTGCTAGTAACAGTGTAAACGGGTGGAAAAAGCAGAGTTCACCTGTTAGCACCTGTATCTGTTCATAACCGTTTATAGCTCTCTTCAGTTGCAACTTAAAACCACCAACAGTCACCATACCATTCTGAATACTCTTAGGCAAGTGCTAAACCTGAATAGGACCTTACTATTCAGTCTGATAGTAACAAAGTGCACTAATGCCTAGCTCCCTATGGGTAACTTTATATTTCTGTGTAATAGAAGCGAAGGGCAAAAGGAGGCTCAAAGCTCTGTTTAAATGGCAATTGTACTGTCTGTGATACTGACTGCATTTGTCCACTGTAGTGTGTAATAAAGTGTTACTTTACAGATTACAAAGCTTGCTAATCTGCTTTGGTTTATCGGCAGGTGTGTTTTGCCAATTCTGTCTCTGCGTATTACAATATTGGGGGGGTGTCTCTGAATAGTTCAGGTGCTGTTTTGAGTTGCCTACAGATATGTAGGAGAATAGTCTTAGGTCTTAATTTTTGTATATAGAAAAGTTATTTACATGCCATCTTACATACAGATTTTAGCTGGCGTAAGTGTGAGTGTGTACGTATCTATTATAAAGAAAATAGCAATTGATGTGCGTTAGTAGATGTTTTCTGTGAACATGTCTTTGCTTCTTAGTGTGCTCTCTAGAGTGGTGCAGTACATCACTATACCTATACATACATGCTTGCATAGCTGCCTGTGCAAATGAATCAATAGCAGACACCTGCAGTTAGGCAGATCTCAATGGGAGTGATGGAGAGGCTCTGTGATGGGGAGTAGGACTTGCTGCTTGTACAAGTAGTTGACTGACTTCTGACACAACTCCTGAATACACTAAGAGTCGTTGGAGCATTTCCAGGAGGGGTGTAGTGAGGACTGGGGAACCCATGCTTTGTTTTGCCATGAGGAGTAGAATCAGTGCACTGATTCTTCTTCCTACTTCTTTCTAGTTGTCTCCCTTACTGAAAGCTTCTCCTCCCACCACCCTCCTGCTGTTCGTGTATTTTGAACCATATTCTGTCTTGCGTGGTGTGCTTACTTTATTCTATTTATTTTTTTTCTTTTCCCTTGAGGAAGAGCACTTATTAGACTAGAGAGCATGGAGGAGGGCGGTTCTCCCAGTGACTTTGAAATAGAGGGAAGTGAGGCAATGTCAGTGTGATCACTGAAATGAAGTTCTTGTGTAACAGTACCGACATTGTAGCATGGCTTTCTTTATAATCTTTTCTTCTTTGACCAGCCTCGTTCTGCCGGCTTGGGCACCAATCTTGCATATTCATATGCAAATGTATGTTGTGGTAAAGTCAGATGAACTGAATATTCTGGGTCAAACTTTTCTGTTCACACTAGTTGTAAGTTTAATACAAATCTACTGTACCTGCATGTGCTGTTGGGCTTTTATTAATTTTTATTCCATACTTGCATTACACCTAAACACTGTTTTTTTAGGTAGCATTTAAATACGGGAAGGAGCATTTGAGAAGGAGGCAGAGAACAAAACTTTAAAGCCATTATATACCTAACTCTAGTAAGCTTGAGGAAGTGACCCTTAGCTATGTGAATAGTATAAGTGAATGAGACACCTTTCCAACAGACACCTAAATATCTGCTGCAGATTGCATCAAGTTAAGACAAAGAACTGGTTAAAGTGCTTCAGTTAAAAACCAAAACAGCAAATTGCATTGATTAAACATATTTTCCTGATATCTTTGAGTAGGTCTTATTTTTATTTCGTATTTTTCTACTAGTTCCTAGTCAAATTATATATTGTTCCTAGTCAAATATAATATTGTTTTTGTTTAGGTTGATAGTTTCAAAGTAATTTCTGGAGAGCTGTATTTTCAGACATGGCAACACAGGGTACTACCAAACATGCATTTCTTGTCTGACACAAAAGCAAGAGAGACCCTTATTCCCATTAGTATTATGGTTTTTAAAGACAAAAAATCAGTATTTACTCAGTGAATTCTGTAATACTTTTTTTCTCTGTCTATCTTTATTATTTTAAAAAGAGAATTTAATTTTTGTTGACAAATCAGGTTTGTGGTATAGTGTTTTTTTGTTGGCTTTTTCCAAGTGGACTAACCTGAAACTGGAGAGAACTTTGAAGATGAAACTTGGATTTTAGTTGATGAGAAGATGAAAATCAAAAATGCAGAGAAATAAAATGCAATTATAAAGACAACTTTTTAAATTTACCAACTAAAGAATAAAAATTATTTGGTTTACAATATGCATCACCTTTTTCACATGTATCTCATTGTTTCATCTTTTGATGAGTAATGATAGTAAACAGCTATCTTTATGCTGGCCAGGAGCATCAGTATGCTGATGGAGTGGGGTGGAAGCATTCATCTGTGATTCCATCCAGCAAGGAGGTCGCGTTGTTTATTTAAAGGACTCTAAATATTTCAGAAAAGTCACCCTCTGTTAAACGCTGCCATCTAATACTGCTTGGTGAAGAGACATTAGAAGTTAAATGGCCTTTCTCACCATTTTCTTTTACTTTCTCTGCTTGCTAAGTCTGCTCATACAAAATTCATTAACCTAGACCAACTCTTGAAATTCCATCTGTCTCTTTCTGTGTAAATTGTACGCTCTGTCATGCTGATCTGGTCTGCTGGCTGTCCTGTCTGCAGTAGGAGCTACTTGCTCGAGTTGCCACTTGTACTTCCTCGGTAATTCTTTTGTGACCCTCTTCATTTATAAAAGGTAGTTTCCTGGATCATAATTGTTTTCTGTTTAAAGCTGCATTAATAACAAAAATGAACAAACTGGTTAAATAGTTCTTGCTTCTTGCAGTAAAACATATTATTAGAAATTGATTTAATCTTCTTTTGCAAAACATTTAATAATTTCTCATTCTGTATAAACCACGTGGTATTTATTGTCCAGGATTGCTGAAGGGCTTAATACTTCACCTGTTGTCAAGAACCTACACACATACACACACGCTGTATTCTGTAATGATTGTTTTTACTGGTTGTTTTGTGGACTCTTGTTTTGCATCACATCCTAAAGTTATTGCACTGGTTTTATTCATTCAATAATACCCATTCATCTGTTTTCTAAGGCCTGCAGGATGATATCATGTGCTGTATGCATAACTTCATTTTCTTGCATTTAATTTTGAGAAAAAAAACTGTGCAAAACTTTGTTCTTACTCCATCTGAATGTTATCTCATGTGGTGCAACAATTTAATATTAACTACATTTGCTTCTTCTTTAGCTTAGAGTAGTTTGGAATTTCTCCTAAGGAACAGCAAGAGTTGGTGAAGAATGTGTGTGGTTTATTGATACCTTTCATAAGCTTGTTTTCTATAATTTATTTTTTTACCTCCCCTTTCCTGTGTACAAACATGGTACCAGTCTGTAAAACATAATACAACTATTACAGGGGACCTTCAAGAGCACAGTGAAGCAACATTACTCTAAGTCCCTTCAGCTGACAATAATGAGCATGGCTAAAAACAGCCATCTGGCTCTGTCAGTACGTGCAGCAGTATCACCAGCTTGCACGGGAAGAACCTACAAACTGCATACATCTCAAAGTCTATGGCCTGGCTGCTGCAGCTCTAGAAAAAGAAATGTGGCACCTTTTGTGGATACTCTTACGTAGCTGAATTTTAGCTTGATTTTTGTTTTTTTCCCTTTTGACTAGATATTTCACTTGTTTTAGTTGCAGACTGGAAATAATTATTTTCAGAAAAACTTTGCTCTACAAGTACATAATTTCATCAGCATATTTCAGTGACAGAGAAACAAGATGGGATTTCCAAAAGCACGTGCAATATGTATGTGAATTTTGCTTTTCGCACTGCAAGGGGAAAGATGTAGACCTTACTCCTTCACAGAGACAATTGAAATAATTAAAAAGGTGTGCTGGCTTCACATGTGCTGGGTGACTTTGTTTACTGCTGATGTTTGACAGACAAACTTTTTGTCTTTTAAGTGTGTTGTTTGTATTAAGTAATGGCAGCACAGAGAAGAAGTGTCAAAACTGGCTTGATATCTAGCCAATATATTTCACTCTGTAAAGAGTTGATATTACTGAGTCTATTGCTATCTTTCCATTCTGCCATCTGCTTATTGCAGTTACAGGCGTTTTATCAATGAGACAGATCTTTGTGGTTTTTAACAAATGGTACTACCTGCCGGCTTGGCATGTAGGGATTGCGCACGTAAACAGAGCTGCTTCATCAAGCTGTTCTTAAAAAAACCCAACCAAACAAAAAAAACCCAACCAAACAAAAAACCCCAAAACAAACCCAACCTCCAAAAGCCCCCAGTAGTTGGATGGACAGAAATTTGATGCTTAGCCTAAAAAAAGGCATCTTCTCAAATCAGTTCATATTCCAGTTGAGAAGATAAGTAACAATAGAAATACCAATTTACAGACAACCAGTTCTTTTGCTGAAAGCAACTTATTGGGGTGGTTTCAAAATAATGCAGAGTTTTTACAAAGCATAGGAGTGTCAAGGGAAACCCCTCTTCATCTTTGTCGTCTTTAAATATTGAGTAATTAAAGTTTTTGAGTCACTGTCTTCTGAGGAGAGAAATGCAAGTAAATAAATTTAACAGAAAAGATAACGAATGATCAAGAAAAAACAAACAAGCAAAAGATGTTATTAGGTGCAGTAAGTGCACATGGCAAGTGTTCATTCCAACAACAAATGATCTACAGAGCATATATTATCATGATGTGATGTTAGACGTTAGTGTGTCATACACGTCTTTTTCATTAATCCCATGCTAATCTCTGACTAGTATTGAACCTTCATGAAAGATTCAATAATTGGAAAGCCTTTATATTTGCAAAATGTGGAGGGTTTGGTCTTTTTTACCCTTAAAGAACTATCCTAGAAATATTAATTTATTCTTTGAGGTAATATAATGACTTACAGTATTTCTAGTATTTATATTCATTACTCCTTTTCTCTGCTTTTTAGTAAATTTTCTCAATATTTAGCTGGATTGGGTGAGATTAATTTATACGTGGAGCCTGCTTTTGTATTATAAAGATAATAAAAATCTTGTAAAATCTTCATGAAGTGAATTACATTCTGGAAGCAGTTCTGGTGTGTATCGGTCAAGTGAATCCTCTTGGTAGCTTTTATTTTCAGTTATTTTCTATACTTTTTAAATATGTGAAGCAGCAGCAAAGAAAAGCATATGCCATCTTGTTTGATCCTCTTCTTGTTTTAATTCTGTTGTAAATATTTAATTATAAATTGTCTTGAATTGGCATCACTCCGTTGTCATTCTCTTTGAGAAACAAGAAGACAGGGCAGCTGTGATCTGCAGAAATAATCTTTTTAAAGTACTGTTTTTCTCAGTATTAAGATTGATGTGAGAATTACTGATAAGCTTATACCACTACACAGTGATGAACCTACTAGTAGTCATCTAATGCCTTATAACCACAGAAATGGCCTTAAAATGCAGTCTAAATGTTTTTTAATATGTATTTGTGGGTAATGGTAGCTACATTCACAGACACTGTGAATCTCTCAAATTATTTTCTTTTATAGAAATCTTCTAAATAATGTTTCTCTATCTCATTTTTTACCAGATAAGGAGAAAAAGCATGTTGAAGCCATATGGCAGCTTGAGTAACTCATATTAAAAATCTTTGGAAAGAACAGCTGAACACATATATGTGCTGAGTTTTTGGACCTCTGCCTGTGGAGCTGGCCAGTCATTCCTCTCACCAGCTAGCAGTGCTGTTCCTTTGAGCTTCTGATGTTTATGGCATTGGCTTCTGATGCTACTGTTGCTTTCAAGTGTCTGTTGGATTTCTTGTTTTCAGGGATGTTCTTTGCACTGACGCACAGAAATGGAGGTTCTGCAGTTTCAGGCTGAAGTACTAGGCTGGAGCTTGCTGACTGGAAGACGTTTCTGCTCTGATTTTCCTTTGTACTGTTTTTGGCCAATGAGGGGTAAATGTTTTGCAGTAAGCTCCTGCGTCCTTCCCTCCTGCTTGTAGTTGTTCTTCAAAGTTGGTTGCTTTTTGTTACCAGGGTACACACCCATGTTTCAAATAGTAGTAAATTAATTTTTAAAACTGTTCTGAGTAGAGCCTTTGTGTTGCTTTCCAGTTCTTAAAGCTTTTTTTAACACAAAAAGTGCATGAAGACATCTTTTCCTCCCTCTCCTTAGGGCATGTATTGCTGTGCAAGTGACTGTTTTTATTTTGTTGTTGTTGATGTTTATATGTGACTAGATAGTCATAAGGCAAGGTTAGAAGTTAATCATTATTTTAGTTATACTTTTTCTAGCACTTAGTTGTACTTTTTCTAGCATTTCAGCTTTTAAGCAGAACAACTTGAGTCTGTCTAGAAGATTACCGGAAAGATATCTGAACTGCAGGGTAAAAATTGGGAATTAAAAGAACAGGAACAGTAAAATATTTTGTTTTCTTGGCTAAAAGCACAGGGTAGCCAAAAGTTTTAATGCAGACTTTTTCTGTGCTATGCTTCCAGTAACTATGTTCCTGATGGTACAGGAACTATAATTTCTACTTAAGGAATTGTCATGAGTATATTTTAACTCAGTGGCTGAAACCTCACCATATTTATTGTCTCACTGCTAGATATGGTGCTTAAGACAGACAACTGCTACTCTGAAAGTTTTAATTGACACCATAAATATATTTCAGTCAGTTAAATACAATGGGCAACATTCTTGAGTTTTATGTGGGTGGTTTTTTTAGTGAAACTTTAATTTGCTTCAGTATTTTAATTCTTTATTTAGCTTTTGCTGTTACCTGTATTGTTAAATTTAAAATGCTTAAAAGCTGACTGGATGAAGTGTATCTGTAAAAACTATGGTACCCAAAACTGTTAATGAAGAATCCTAATTAGATTGTGAGAACTTAAAAAGGACATTTAAGACTAAATAAACATTAGTAACAGTCTTTTCATAATAGAAGTATATCAATGGCAAATAAAATCCTCTTCAGCAAAACTATGGGGATTTTGTGTACTCCTGGCTTAATAACATAGGACAGGAGCAGCAGGTTGATTTGAGACTAAGCAGGGAAGCAGAGGTGGGAACATCGCTTAAACTGCTCCTTCCTAGTCCCTGAATTTCTGAAATGAGATAGGCTTAAATTTTGCATGAGGCTAGATTATCTCATTTTGCAAGTGAGAGTTGCACACAACTTCCCCTCTTACTTTAAGACAAATGACTAGAGATTGGTTTTGATGGGATTTTTGGGGGTCTTTAATTGCGGAATTTTGAATAAAGTATTCCCATGCTTGTTGCATCTTTGCTACTCAGCCTGCGACCTCCTAAACCTCAGAATGGCAACAAGTAGCAGTTTTAAAAGTTTGCAAACTTGTAATAGCAGGTTTTAAGACAATCTCATCTGTGAAACTTTACTGAACTTTTGAATGTGGTTTACATTCACCTATAATAAAATTCAGAATTGTGTTTCTGCGTGACACTTGTGTACCAACTTTCCTTTCTTCTTTGAGTCTCATTGCCTTTAAACATTACAAAGCTTTTTTTAACTATATTGGCTGGAGTGTCAGTATCAACTGTTCAGAGCAAAGGTGAGGCTGACAATGAAGGAGACATGTATTTGGAAGCAAAAGTGACTTTTCTATTTTGTGAAGTAACTGTGTCACCAAGGTGGTGTAGATGATGCCAAAAACAAAAAGAATGAAAAGAATTAAGCCTTTTCTGTGTTCTTGCATCCACCGGCTTATAGTTGCTGTGATACTGACCTTATCTTTCCATGTTAGATATGGTAATGGCTTGTGGCAGACAGTTGTATCTGTAAAGGCACCAAACTGTATACTTGGAATAGTTGTGAAGGAAGAAAGGTCAGGGAAAAGTAGTCTGTTTCCAAAAGACATAGAAAAACAAATACCATGGAGTTCAGAATACTGGTTAATCTTAAGATGCTTATGAGAATCTTACATTTATTAAAGACTAGCATATTGTTTCTTTTGTCAGAAACACATTAGAATAAAATACTGTGATTTTGATTGTAAGATAGGTTTTTTGGGGAGGGAGGACTGCTGACGACCTATGAAGACATCTGTTGAACAGCCAGGATGCAAGCTGTCTTCACATCTGGAAGAGGGAAGCATTGCAATACCCTCAGTAGATCAGGTCTGGTCTGTGGTTGTGCCCGACTGGGATAGTAGCTGTTAAACATGTTTTGTAAGAGCTTTGTTTACTGACATTATTGTCAATAGACAAAATACACAGCTGAATATGTGAGAAGTTGCTGTGGATGTGCTAATGGATGTAGATGGCCTCAGAGATGGGGGGCTGTAAGGAACCAAATGGACTAAAAGGATGAAAAATGGACTGGAAAGACACTTCTTTTTTTGTGTACAATACTACTCAAGAATGTTTTTAAGAGTATTGGCAGCATGTTTATGGTATTTTGCATTGAAGAAACATTTTATATACTTTTAAAAGGCAGATGTCAATGATAATTTTATTATGCAACACCCTGCAGAGCATAAAACAAGGCTGAATAGAGAAGTACTAGTCATGGCTTCCGGGTGATACAAAATCTCATTTCTATGATCCTCTCTCAGGTCCTTGTATTGCATGAAGGCTCTATTTCTGATCAAGCTCTGTTTTGTTTTTAGGAGGATAGCATTGTGTTTAAAATGGAAGTTGATATAAATGGAGAGTCCAGAACTACCCTATCCACCCTGCCTGTGCCCCTTGCAGAGGTGAGTCCTGTGGGCAGGATGGAAGCAGAGAAGCCTCGCTGTTCCAGTACCCCGTGCTCACCAATGCGACGGACGGTTGCAGGATATCGGATCCTTCACATGGATTCTAACTACCTTGTTGGCTTCACAACTGGAGAGGAGCTGCTAAAATTGGCCCAGAAGTGTACAGGAAGTGAAGAGAATAAAGGGGAATCTGGCCCGAACTTACACTCCAAACAGCTTGATTCAGGACTTGCACATTCCTCCCGTTTGTACAAAACTAGAAGTAGGTACTATCAGCCATATGAGATCCCAGCAGTAAATGGAAGGAGGAGGAGACGGATGCCCAGCTCAGGGGATAAATGCACTAAGTCATTACCATATGAACCTTACAAGGCGCTTCATGGTCCCCTGCCCCTTTGCCTTTTAAAAGGTAAAAGGGCTCATTCGAAATCCCTGGACTACCTCAATTTAGACAAAATGAGCATTAAGGAACCTGCTGACACAGAAGTGCTACAATATCAGCTCCAACACCTTACCCTTAGAGGGGACCGTATGTTCGCAAGAAATAACACATAAGCTACCATCTCAAATTCAGAACCAATTTCTGATTATTTCTCCGTTGCTGCAAAAATCCACTGTTGTACTATGTACATGACTGTCCACATTTTAGGTGGTTTTATCAGCTAAATGTTATGAGAAAGTAACTTATCTGACCAGAATCTTGGCAATGCAATGTGTTACAAATACTCAGAGGTAGAAATCTTTCCTGAACAAGCAGCTTCTGATGCAAATTTGACTGCAACTGGTGGATATTTTTTGGACATCTTTAACAAAAAAAAAAAACCCTCTTCATTTTGGGTTTCGGATTTTTTTTGTACAGTTAGATCTAGTAATTACAGTAATTTAACACTGAAAAACTGGTGATGTCTGTTTGGTTGTTGCTAATTTTGGCTTGATGTTAGAAACTGCTCTTGGATAAGTACTGGAGTTTAGGAGGTTTTTTGGTTTTACTTTTTTCCCTATATTCTACAGTAAAATGAATGTATTGTATTGGGTTTTTATACATCATGGAGAGGAAAGTGAGCTTGGCTAAACTTGATCACATGCTATTTCAGCAATCCGGTTCAGACATTTTCAAACTGCATTTGCTCTGGTGATGAGAGTGAGATTCACTCATGAAACAAACCTTTGCTACTTGAATCCTATTAAATTATTTTTTAGTTTCTGCATGGAAGTAATTGCTTTGCCTCTGCTCTATAAAATTTGTTCAGGATATTTGGGTTGTTAAAAACATCTTTTTGGGAGTGAAGATTTTTTTTGTTAGAGGAATTTATTTTTTACATTGTTTTGATACACAAACAAGAATTCATTTCAGATTCCAATAAATGCACTGGAATGTCTGCATTGGTATGTCAATGTTTTTAATTTTAATTCATGATTTCTGTATCATGTATAGTAATGGAAGGTGTCAAGTAACTTCAGCATTGCTTTGGAAATTCAGTTGATTTGAGGCACTGAATGCTTGAGATCTGTAAAGCCAATTTTTTTTTTTTTTGATGGAATGCAGGTGAAATATCTCTGTATCAGCATTGAAGAGATGATTGTGGATTATTCAACAATGTAGATTGAATACACTGACTTTGTTACTTAAGAATTTTTTTTATCCAAACGTGCCATCAAATGCAGTTTTGACAGCTGTATTCCTAGACATATTTAAAACATTTTAGCAACTTCCATTTAAAAATGAAAAATAGTTTTTAAACTTTTTTTAAGGTGCAGTCTTTTACTGAAGCAGCGTGCAACTTGGTTTTGGCTGATGACCCCTTCAGAAGTTAAAAATAAGATCAGATTGTTTTGAAACATAAATTATTTCTGGTAGAATTAATATTTTTTTTGTTTATAATTCAGAATTAATAGAAAGCACTAGTTAGTACATGTGCTGTGGAAAATGAAGCTCTCATTCTGTCACTTACTCCACAGTTGTGAATGAAGGCAGCCCAGTAGTTTGCATTTTGCTGGTTTGCTTTTTTTTTTTTCAGATTTATTAGAATCTTTGCAACAACTTATTTGTCTTTTAGAAAGTTAACTACACCTGTGTAAATTCAATGTATTGAACAATGGTCTTGAAAGTAAAATCTTTCTATATAGTCTTTAGTTTGAAAAACAGAATATGGTCAGATGCCAAAGAGATGGGGGGTTTGTTTAAGGAATAAACACCACTGTTCCTTGAAATACCCTATGAAACTGTATTTCTGGCTGAAAAATAAAAAGGGTGGTATAAACACTTATTGTTGTGGAGTCTTTTGCTGCATAGGAGAAAGAGGGCACTTGAAAAATACCACTTTAGACCAGGGATCACTTAAAAATTACTTTAAAGCAGGTATATTGGACTTCTGTGAAATAGATGCTTAAGTTTGTTACTTTGTTTCAGGAAATGGGCCACACAATTATTATTTTGTGCATATTTCTAATGTCATCCTGTGCCATAATTGTATAGCTACACTAATAGGTTAAACTGCTGGAAATGCAAATGTTGCTGTCTGGACATGGAGAAAGGTTCTCAGTAGTTCAGGGCTTGGAGCATAATTAATTTAATTATTTTGTAGGCAAATAAGAGGCTAAGTGTAATTTTTAAGAAGAATTACAAGACAATTGCAGACAGGCTGTAAGAATAAAAAACTTCCAAAAATCTACAATATCTGCAGAAATATCAGCTGATTAGTTTCAGTAAAGCCAGGTGGTATAAGGCTGTATAATTTGCTTTTGAAGAAATCAAAAAGCTATCCAGAACACAAAACTGTGGCCTGAAAAAGTTTAACTGGGATTCAAAGTATGTTTGCATTTGGTAAAAGACTGGATTCAGTTACCACCAAAAAAAAGGTCTTAAGGTCAATACTAAGCTAGAGTCAAGTTTTTATGGATCACATGAATGTTTGCGGGAGTAGGAAAGGACATACTACTTATATCAACTAAACAAGGAATGGTTAATGGATATCACAACCTTTGTTTTTTACTCTTTCAATGGTACCAAAGAATCAGAAACAGAAATTACCCAACATAATCAAATTTTTATGTTCTGAATATTTGGGTAGGTGGTCTGGCTGAAGTCAGTAATATTAAACATCATCTTAGAGGAATGTGTGTTTTAAAAAGAGCCAATAGAAAAAAAATCTTCAGTGAGAATATAAGGAGAAAAATCTAGAAAAAATTCTTTAAGACTAATCTTAAAGTGGAGCTACATTACAGAAATTAAGTTGTTAAGCTGTTGTAGGAAAAACGCAGATGTAAAATTGAAATATGTAGATTTACTACAATGCTAAAACTTTACATGCAATGTAAAGCTTGGCAACCAACAGTAAAAGTGCACATTTCTTTGCATGTTGTCTGAGCATTTGACAAACACAATTTTATTGATGATTCTTTCTGGGGACTGTTTGCATGACTGGTTTGCAGTGATTTGATCTTTTAATTGGGACATCAGTTTCTATTATGGGTAATTACACTGAACACTGTAAGAGTGGCAAAAACGTATGTCTGATAGATGCATCTTCAGAAGAACACACTTAATGTTTGGATTACTGATTTATTTTTTTTGTCTGTATCACACCACATTTTTTTTAGCCAGGGGTTAATTCCAACTTTGCAAGTCTTCAAGAACCTTCAGACAGATAATGAGGGGTTTTGCCCCAGTGATTTTTCTACTGATTTTTTTTTTTTCCTCCCTTCTTCCAGCATAAAAGCACTTGGGGAAGATTGAGCTTGTATCTTCAGGTCTATAGAATATGGAAAACCTCTTTTTGGAAGGAGCAAGGGGGTCCCTAGTTGCCCGCAGTATTTGCGTCTGATCTTGTAAAAGCTAGGTATCATTGTTAAATACATGATACTTAAGCATAGAAATCTTGGAGCTACTTCTGTAGGTGTTTTCTTCTGACTCTTAATTGTGGGTGCAGCATAGAGTGTAGGCTGTTAGGAGATGCTGATAACTGACCTACAAAGCATCAGAGATTAATTTAAAAAAACCCAAACAGTCTTTTGTCTCAGGAATCATTATCAAGCAATTGTTTGACCTTTTTTCCTTGCATCAGAGTGATGACTTCCATCAATCAACAACCACTTGTACTTTCCTCCTCTATAATGCAAAGATCGTTTTCAGTGATGCTACTGCCTCAAAAGTTGCCTTTGGTTGCTGCATTTGGCTCCTTCTGGATGGCAGTAGTTAAGATTCAGTGCTGCTGCCCCAGTGATATGAGTGCTAAACCTAATCTTGTGAATTTCTGTATGATGACTCAAGGGAGGGAATGTTACACTAATGTTTCGATATCTAATTTGTCTTACATCCTCCTTAACATACCCTTAGCTTTAGTAGTTTGGTGGTAGAGAATGACATCAAGACAAACCTACAGAGGAACTATCTAGGCCACATTAGAAGAACTGTGGAAGGAAGACTCAGTCTGTGGGGAAAAAGTCAGAATCAGCTGACTTGCTCTGAAAACGAAAGGTGAGGATACTGACCACATTCCAACCATTTTTAGGAGATAGTTGTCTAAACTTGCATATACTTGATCTTACCTAAATTGGTCTGGAGTAAAAAGAGGAGGACAAAGAAGGAAAGCTTTGCACAGTGCTTTTATTTCTGTGAAGAGTGGAATGGCAGAAAGAATTCACCAGATTGTATCAGGAAAGGCTGGAAAGATAAATGGAAAACCGCAGAGGGGCAGCACTGCAAAAGCAGGAAGAGTCAAAACAAGTAAAGACATGAAGGAGGAGATGGTGTGCTGTTCTCAAATATCTCTAGAAAGCAATGGTCCATATTTCTGGATGATTAAGGAGGGTGATAGGACATTTTAGCAAAATGCTGTGATCAAAGCTGGGTTGCAGTGAAGGTAGAAAGGAAGAGCTTAAGGCTGTGTGTGTATACTTTCATACTCCTAAGCTTAGATGAAATTTAGGAGGGAGTTCTGAGGGAATGAAATGGTAATCTTTATGCCATTTGAATATGGTCTGAATTAAAATCCTGTGGTGTTTCTGTGGTATTCTGCAGCTCTGTGGTATTCTGTAGCTCTACACAGTGACAATAGGTAGCTGGTGCAATTTCATAGTTCTTTGACAAAGCGAAGTGTAAGAAACTGCCTGAGCAAGAAGAAAACTTTTGTCTGTTATGTTCCTTTATTATTATTTACAGTTTAAAAAAAGATTAAAAAAGCTTCAGGCTTCTTTATGTATTCTGGTATAAATACCAATTATGATGTCTGGTAGGATTATTGTCCTATTTCATTTTGCTGTTGTCTGCTGAAGCTCCTGATGACCTGTTCTTTCTGTGAAGGTGAAGGAGACACAAGTGCTAAAATATGCAAGAACTTTGATAACAGCATTAACAGCCCTACTAACTTTGATAACAGCCCTATGAAAAATGGAGCAAGCCATGATTTACTGTAGTGCCTACTTTAACCTACTTTTCAGAAATTCAGAAAATCTTGAAGAAAAGTATTAGGTACTGAGATGCTTTTAGAAGTCTGCTTTAGGCCAGAAATACTGCAGCATAGAGCTTCATGGTGTGAACTATAGTCTGCAAATGG